TCAAGAGATCTTTGGAGAAGTTTTCATGGGAGGAACTCGTCGAGCCCATAAGGGACTCGACGAGTCGAGTCGGGTTGCCCCGCGACTCGTGACCGGTGACGACCCGTGGAGTATAGGGTTGACTCAGCGAGTCAAGTGAGGACCAGGGGCGAAGAGGACAGACATGTACTCGCCGAGTCACTCTAGTGCACTCGGCGAGTCCGGTCAATGTTGACCGTTGACTTTAGTTGACTTTTAGGGTTTAGTCAGTGTTTGGACTTATGAACCATTAGAGGGGCATAATGGTCTTTTACCCTTCTTAGAGAACTTATAGAGAGGGGTTGGCCTAGCCTTTAGAAGTTGTATTAATTAGAGCAATTATTTATGTGATTAGGCGAAGGCTAGTGCAGTATTTTAGAGTTCGAGGTTTACCGAGTTACCCGAGGTGAGTCTTCTCACTATACTTTACCTAGAGTGGTAATTAGAGTTATGTGACAGAGTATCTTGTATGCTACTTATGTGATTGTGATACACTGCATTATTTCTATGAGATTCATGCCGTGTATGTTCCAGAGTTACAGAGTTAGAACCGGAGGGTCCACAGAGTTAGGACTAGAGGGTCCACAGAGTTAGGACTGGAGGGTCCATAGAGTTACAGCCTCGAGTGGCTAATATGTGTTATATGTGGTATTTTGGGGAACTCATTAAGCATTTATGCTTACAGTGTTTTGTGTTATGTGTTTCAGGTACCAGTGAGGATCGCGGGAAGGCGCTGACATGATCAGTACACACTATTGGAGTTTTACATATTTTGATCTTGGGATGTGTTTTTATGGATTTGATATGTGATACATTGAGATTTGAGAATATGTATGAATGAAATTATATTTTTAAAAGTGAAAAATTGTTTTGAAATTTAGGGTGTTACAGCAACACTTGACATGACAGCATTTTTTCCGACTCCAACAGTTGTGGCAGCGCCGGTGGTGAAGGGTGGCGTAAGGGTGGTGCGGCGTCGGGAGTTGAAGAGGTGAGGATGGTGGCTGATGCATCCTCTTGGGGTTAGGATTTCCGGAGAGTTATATACCCGGTCCCCATGAAACATTATCCCATAATAACAACATTGGTCCCTCCTTCTCCCTCTTCTTTCAATTTAAATCCTTATTTTACCATTTAAACCCCTCATTCTGAAAATCCTTACAAATCAAGTCTGAAATATTTACCAAGCAGCCCTGCTTTGACAATTCTTTTCAACTTAGATACATAATTTACCCTTTTAGCCCCAGCCATCCAAAATCCTTTCATATTAAGTCCTGAAATTACACTTTAACCTCCGAAACTCTAAATCATGTCATTTGGCTCCCCGAAACCAACGCCCCGCTAAATATTATGGATTTTTGGTTACAGTAATATAAAATAATAATAAAAATTATATCTCGGAGTTCCGGATTTTTTATTTAATTATTCTATTTTAAACGGAATGTTACATGTTGATGTGTGTATACAATCATTTTAGGAAGGGTTTGCTCTTTTTCATTGCATAGAATGTAGAGTAGTGTTTAGACTACGCGTAAAAGTCTCCATTTATGTCATTGTTCAACTGGTATGTATTATGCAACTCATTTATCTTATCTACTGTATTGTTGTTAAATTTTATTTTCTTGATCATTTGCGATGATAATATAACAATTTTGTTTGGACACTTTAAACAAATTGTGGTGTTCATAGATGTGCTGGTGTACATATTTTATGGAGATGAACTCAGAGAAATGTTTGGATATGAAGTGCACCCATATGGGTTTTATACAATGAATGGTAACTTCAATTCTATCTCTTTGTTTGGTTTATATATTGGGGAAATTAATTTTTAGGCTTTATATTGATTATTTAATTTCAAATTCTGTGTTAACAATTGTTTTGGTGGGATTGTAGTATGGTTCCTTTATAGCTATAATATGTGGATAACGAAGCTATAATATGTGGATAACGAATCAATGAAAGCCACTATCACATTCTTGCCAAACAAGAACTCAAAAAGGTTATATATTATTAATTATTATTGATTTTTTGTATTTGTTGAATTTGTTGACTTTTTATTGACGAAAGTTGGTATAATAGGAGTACATTTATAGAAGACAGGGAAGTGAACAAGGGTCTACTGAACTTAACCCAACCATGTTACAACCATGTAACAGAGCTAAGAATGTTGGGTCTTTATTGAACATATTTATATATTCCTATATTGAGAGAGATTATGATTATGTTAGTGTTTGCTGTACATTTATTTTCAACGTACAACACATGATCATTGATTAATTCAAATTTGTTTGGTGTGGAGTCTCGTCTATACCCAAACCCAATTTCATTGGCCTTCAAAATTTTGAAATTAAACCTCACAAATCACAATTACAGCCGTTTATTTATTTTTGAAATGTTTTTGAATCTCATGTGTATTTACACGCTCAAAACGTCCCACAATAATTTTTTATATTGTGGCGAATAAAAAATGTCACTAAAATCTTAAAATATGTAACTAAAAATAGCATAAATTCTTGAAACAAATGAGCATTAGTGGCACAAAATATGTGTCACGGAAAACTTTTCTTCTACCATGACAAATAAAAAAGTGCCACAAAAAGCCTATAAATTTGCAGCATAGCAAAAGCAAAAAGTGTCACTAGAGAGTTTTAGTGGGAGCGTTTCTAGTGGCACTTACACTACTAGAAACATGGGTTTTAGCGACGGATGAATCCGTCGCTATTCCGTCACTAGAGGTCTTTTGTGACGGATCTATGACAGACTTACTCCATAGCCAAATAAAACGTGGCTAATGGCTTAGCGAGAGATTTAGCGACAGACAGGTTTTACTTCCCGACGGTTAAGCGAGGGAGGGTTTTTTGTCGATAAAATCTTAGATAATCCGTCGTTGATCCCTCAGTAATACCTTTCTAAAATACTATAATTATTTTGATCGAAATATTTGTGGGTTTCGTCACTGATCCATCAGTAAATTGTCACTGATTAGCTACAGACAGAATCCGTCGCAAATTCCGTCACTGTAGGTCAGGTTTCTAGTAGTGTTATTATGTGTGCCACACAATCTCTAAGAAGCCTTTAGTGTCATTTTTTTGGGTTTTTAGTGATACTTTTTGTGTGCCACTAAATGACATTTTTCTTAGTGAGGAAGACGAAGACACGATGCCAAATTACTCAGTTAGTCGCCTAAAACATCTTATTATATAGTTACAAAGCCACAATGCTTAACATTAACTACCAAATGGGATTGATAGCCAAGCCAAAATGTTAAGGGCTATACCTAGTCACATTGATCATTTTATGTACAATTTACAAGTTAGTTGACCTTTTAAAAGTTCAACCAGATTAAGTAGCCAAATGAGCATACACGCAAAAGTTAATTTACCAAATTTGATCTTAACCCCTGATCATGTTCGTTCATTTTCATGTTTGATATTTCAACAATAAATTATATGTTGCATGAATTTAATTTGGGGTAATCTATCATTAGAACTTTAAATTTAGGCACAAAAAGAAAGCAATTTTACAAAGAGTATATGGTGTTTTTAAATTCGTGAGAGAGTAAAAAGCATGAGTATGTCTTCTACTTGTACCCACAAAGTATGATAGAATACAATTTTTGACGTTGCTAGTGGTTGTCAGAAAGTTATAACCGTTTCAAAATTTCCAAAGAGTAATCAGATTCGCAAACCAGCAGATTAGCATATCCTCGAACCAACATTCAGCAGACCATCTTATTATATAGTTACAAAGCCACCATGCTTAACATTAGCAGACTAGCATATCCGCATGTCTACGGATTAACAGTCAGCAGATTCGTAGATTAAGCATGGCAACCTCGGATACCTACACCACAGCTTCGGAGTCTGCTGCTTTGCCACTTTTGCCGCTTCTGGACATTTTTTCCACCACATTCCAACTCCAAATTTTTGTAGAGGTTTTGGGTCATTACCCTAAACCCCATAGGGATGCTACCCCTCGTTGACCCTGCATTTCGTCGTATCTTTCGTCGTATATGAGATCAAACTTGCGTATATACAAGTGTGCATTAGGCATAACCTAACTTGTATTAGATAATAGTTTAAATCCACATAAACACTTAATCATTTATGTTTATTCCAAATACACTAAATGACCAATACAATCACCAACATTAAGTTCTTGCACTCCAAGAATTATTTATTGATCTATGCTAAACTTTCGCATTGTATTAACCTAACAAAGACTAAAGAGTGTCTAACCTAGCGGTATCTGATGTTGGCCTTCCTCTTTGAGATCGAGGGTTCAAGTCTCGTCGTGAATATAGGTGAAATTAGGTCTTAGATTAGAAGTAGATTAGATTTGTCAGTTCAAAATATTAACCTAACAAAGTTATATACGTTTAAATTAAAACCCATTAGAAGATCTAATCAACTACTAATAAAGTTAAAAATCATTAAACGGAGTCTTTTTTTAGATTTCAAATGAATAACTGCATCATAAATATCTTACAAATTAGGCATTGATGAATGATGATTTCATGCATTGATGAATGATGATTTCATGCATTGATGATGGCATTGACAGGTTGAAATAAATGTGTTAACAAGTTAACTACTATTAGAGGGGATTTGGAATATAAAAGTTTGAACGAAATATCATGATAACCACTAATGGGAAAAGGAAAAGGTTCGGTGCATGTCGGCAACTTTTATTTATTTTCTTTTTACCCAAGGGCCAAGATGCAAATAACATCAACTCAGTTTTACAATTACAGGTGTCGTCAGTTTTTCCAAATAATAAAATAATAAAATAGCTATATAAAAAAGAGTTATTATTGAGGTGACACTTGACAGACAGGTAGTTGCTTAGTTGGAAATCATTTAGAGGAAATGAGTAGTGACAGGTGGTTGCTTACTCGGGAATCCAGACAAAATGATTGTGACTCATGGACCCGATCCGATCCATCCATATATCCGGACCATCCCCTTATCATGTTTCACTGATTTCAACCCTCTCTCTAAACTCAAGTCTCAACCTTATCCTTCCTCCCACTTATCTGGTGCTCCTGTGAGGGTGGGTAGCCATGGCGTTTGCAGGGACAACCCAGAAATGCATGGCATGTGACAAGACTGTGTACCTGGTGGACAAGCTCACTGCTGATAATCGCATCTTCCACAAAGCTTGCTTCAGATGCCACCATTGCAATGGCACCCTCAAGGTTCCAAATCGTTAAATCATATATATATATATATATATATATATATATATATATATATATATATATATATATGCTCTCGAGGCTTTGGATTAGCTAATTAACTAATTAATAATGCCAGAATGATTGATGTTTTTGCAGCTCAGCAACTACAACTCCTTTGAGGGAGTTCTGTATTGCAGGCCACACTTTGATCAACTCTTCAAGAAGACTGGTAGCTTAGACAAAAGCTTTGAAGGTACGTACGTAACTAACCATTTGGATTGCCATCAAATTCAAATATATCCATCTATGGATTTCTAATTAATGGTCTTTCAGGCACACCAAAGATTTTGAAGCCACAGAAAACCATTGATGGTGAGGTATGACCCATAAATTGAATCTAGATCACTATATTATATTTGGAAAATGGCACTGTATAATCTTGAAGCAATTTTCACAGAAACCAATGGCTAACAAAGTATCTAGCATGTTCGTGGGGACCAGAGATAAATGTTTGGGCTGCAAAAACACCGTCTATCCAACTGAAAAGGTACAACCAAAAAAATTCATCTTACAAGCTTATTATGCTAAGATCGTGTCAACAGTAGCTAGCTTTTACGTAAATGAAGTATTATGAACGGAATAATTATTTTTTTGCAAATAATATATATATATATGTATATCATTAATATAGGTTTCAGTAAATGGAACTTCATACCACAAAAGCTGCTTCAAATGTAGTCATGGAGGATGTGTGATCAGCCCATCAAACTATATCGCACATGAAGGTCGCCTCTACTGCAGACACCACCACACCCAACTCATCAGAGAGAAGGGTAACCTGAGCCAGCTCGAGGGTGACCGACCTGGACAAGTCGTACCTTGATCTTTTCTTTAATTTGCTCTTGCCCTTGCCTCTTGGTGTGTACGCTAGCTTGTGATGATATGATGACTTTATGATGATAAGAGATGAAAGTCTGTTTTCCTATTTCCTGATGATGATAAGAGATGGATCATTGATGATACGCTTTAATTCCTTTTTTTTTTGTTGTTATCTTATTGTGGATCAACTGTCCATTGGAATCTGAAAGATTGTTTTGCTTCTTATTTGCAATGCGTTTGCTCATTTACTAGCTTATTAATACAAGAATATGGAAAACAACCACTTGTAGTAGTGGTCTTCTCTACAAAACATGAGAAACAAAAGGCATTTCTGTTGGAACATGCCCCTGTGAACAAACCCAATTGAACTACATCTTTCTAAACTCTTGAACTACATCTTTCTAAACTCTTGCGTCTTTTGTTCAAAACAATAGAATACAATATATATAGACTACATGCTAAATACAAAAAAAATAACAAACTACCTAGCCCACCTACTCCTTTATTGTCTCCATAAAACCTGCCATGCATATATATCTCTTAATTAGACTTGGCAAAACATGACACTTCATTAAAACCCGATACGAACCCGACACGAAATTAGTGGGTTAGAGTCAGAGATTTCGACACATTTATGTAAACGAGTTGACACGACTCGACACGATAATTAAACGGGTAGGGTTAGGGTCAAGACTTTCAACTCGAAGATGACTCGAATATGACCCGTTTAATTATATATTATTTATAATAAATTTCATATTTTTATAAATATATTATATGTTATAGACTTGTAGTGGGCCAAACTCAAGAATTAGAAGTAATATTCAAATTTTCAAAGTTACTTAATTTTAGTCATCCTCACCACCTATCCCTTTTGCTCCCTAACTTTAACTATTTTCATTTTTCCTTCTAAACTTACTATAAATTTTGTAATTTCATCTCATAACTCTAGTGTTTCACTTTTTCCTTTTTGCCTCCACAACTCCTACTTTCAAACCTTTAAAATATTTCAACCCGACATGACACAACATATTTACAAGGTCTAAACCTTAACCCGAAACCCGACACGAAACTGACACAAAAATAAACGGGTTGACACGACACGACACGATAATTAAACGGGTCTGGTTAGGGTCAAGCCATTTTAACCCGTTTAATGTCTTGACACGCCACGAACCCGATATGACACGAAACGTTTGCCAGGTCTACTCTCAATACTCAGTCAAACAAAGAATCAGTAAACCCACTAACTCTTCTTTATTTAGTAATTAACCCCTGAGACTAAATCAACCAGGACCATGATCTGTAACCCATAACCCGATCCATCTCTATGCACTTAACCCATCAAGATTAACCCAACATTCACCCCCTTAATCTTGATGAACTTGATCTTGCTTCACCCTCCTGCTTGCTTCATCTTGCTGCTTGTTTTCTTTCTTTCTTATGTTTGTTGACTACTACTTGCTGTGATTTTGCTGCTCCTTGCTATAGACTTTTTGGTTTGCTACTTGCTACAAACCTCTTCCTTGTTATCTTGCTTTTCTTGCTTGCAACCGGTCCTTTCCTGCTTGTTAATCACTTGCTGCTTGCTTCTTCTTTCTTACCAACAAAATTCTGCTGCAGCATCTTTCTTCCGATTAACAAACATGATCGGACTTGTTGCTTGCTTTCATTATTTCTTCTTTCTTCTTTCTTCCGCTTTCTTCTTTCTTGTTTCTACCTTTCTGTCTTTCTTCTTTCTGCTTCTTTCTTCTGATCACCAAAAATGTGATCACTTCACCTTGCTGAGAACCAGGTGTGAACTTGGGTGCTCTGATACCAATTGTTGGAACATGCCCCTGTGAACAAACCCAATTGAACTACATCTTTCTAAACTCTTGAACTACATCTTTCTAAACTCTTTCGTCTTTTGTTCAAAACAATAGAATACAATATATATAGACTACATGCTAAATACAAAAAAAATAACAAACTACCTAGCCCACCTACTCCTTTATTGTCTCCATAAAACCTGTCATGCATATATATCTCTCAATACTCGGTCAAACAAAGAATCAATAAACCCACTAACTCTTCTTTATTTAGTAATTAACCCCTGTGACTAAATCAACCAGGACCATGATCTGTGACCCATAACCCGATCCATCTCCATGCACTTAACCCATCAAGATTAACCCAACAATTTCCTCATAAAGGTGTAGTTTCAAATTTAGACCGTTAACTAACCAAAACCATTAATGGATTAGCCCAATCCAAGGCTCTGCCGATAAAATGGAGCCGTATTCTTATTTATTAAGGGTGTGTTTATTTGTATCCCTGATTGCTAGTTGTTCCATGGTTTGATAATTTTATTTGTTGCTTTTCTTGTCTTATTATTATTATTATTATCATTATTATTATTATTATTATTATTAGATTTGTTATATTATTATTATTATTATTATTATTATTATTATTATTTAACTTTGAGCTTTACTTTCTAACATTTTTCAATCTCATGGTAGATCCTTGTAGTTTTAATTTTTATGATAGTTGGCCCCCCACCCGTATAAAAAGACTTCTATATCCTTTTTAATTTTTTTTTACATTTTTCTTTAATTAAAACTATTAAAAAACAAGAAATAAAAAAATAAATCGCAATCCCACCCCACCTCTATTTACCCATCGCCTTCTTCTTATCCACTCTGCCTTTTTTTTCTTCTATCTGTAATGTCCCGTCAACCACCATCTCTTCAACGACGCCGCCACCACCATCTATCATTCTCTCTTACTCTTTTACTAAGCCTCTTGTCACCATCATATCTCTTCCTACACCCATCTATCTACTCTACCTCTCATATCAGAAATCGTCCTCAGCAGCATCGATGTAAATCAGGAAGTTTGTTGCCCCCAACTCCTCTTTCCTCTCGTAACAATTGACCATCGTCCTCTAGAATTGTTGAAAACAACATATCAACTTTGAACATCGTAATAGAGCCAGTAGGAATACCCAAATATGCATCGACGTCATCAACATCTTCATTGTTCAGCAATCGAGGAGAAAATATGAATTTTGTATTTTCCCGATGAGAGTCGAGAGAAAAGAGGAATAATAGGAGAAGTTAGTTGTTTGTTTCCAAATAACTTCAGATTAGAACAATGTAACACCTCTTTGTCGTTTAACTATTTTAAAAAGGAATATAAATATTAGAATAATTAATTATATAGAAAATGTTAATCAATAGGGTTTTAATTAAAAAAAATATATTTATAAGATTGTTGCCATCTAATTATCAAGTAATTAATTAAATAAATAAGTAAGGTTTATCTAAAATAATAATAATAATAATAATAATAATAATAATAATAATAATAATAATAACTAGGTGGGGAACCCTGCGTCGCAGGGGTCGGATGCGACAATTTTTTCTGTTGTTTGTTGTTGTAAATGTTAGTTGACGAACTATTTTTTTTGTAGTTTGGGTATTGTTTTGTTGTCGGTTTGCCAAATACCTCTTAAGTGGCATTATCAAATTAATGTCTTTTTTCTCCCTTTGCAAGTTGCAAATGCAAGTTAAGCTATTTATCGAAATATATACTTCATGCGTTTATTGTTTGGTTAATGGGATGAGACTGGGGTGGTGGCCACGTCTTCGGGTTTTTTTTTTGTACCTGGATTGTATTTGTTGAACTACTTTGAGTATAAAGAATGTAAATAAATACATAAACGAATAAATAGATGTTGTACCTCTTTTCGTTCTAACAGAATCTATTATTTATGTTATTAATGTTATTTGGGGTGTTTCCTCAATTTCATTAAAACAACCTAATCTTACAACAAATTACTAATTAAATGAAAGGTAATTTACAACCCAATAAACAAAACCCTTTGAAAGCAGGAAACATAAATAAAACTTAACTGCAAAATTTCTTATCAGGTCTCTGCCATTTCAGATTCCAAATTTTTCCAGAAAGTTGTTCCAGGTTCATGCATATCCAATTTCTAGCACCTTTTACAATTACAAATCTACAAAGGAAGTTATGTTTCTTTTTTTGTATTGAAATCAAGATACATTTATTAAGATAGGAAACTTACCTTTCGCTCTTCTTTGAGGTAAAAAAACCTTCAAGTTTGGCATAAACCTTTTTAGTATAAAAACGGTATGCAAGGGCAGTTTTGAAACATTAAATTTGAAACATTAGGGATACTTTTGTCTAAAACTGTTAAAATAAAAAAAAATTAACTATAAAAACGGTATGCAAGGGCAGTTTCATCCAAAATTGTTAAATTCAATTTTTTAAGTATAAAAACATTATGCAGGGGCATTTTCGTCCAAAACTATTAAAATCAAAATTTTTTAACTATAAAAATAGTATGCAGGGGCAGTTTGGTCCAAAACTGTTAAAATCATTTTTTTAAAGTTTAAAAACGGTATGCATGGGCAGTTTGGTAAAAAAACAGTATGTATGATGAAGTTATAAACCTAGATTCTTCATAATCAATATATTTTGATGATATGAAATCATAAATTTACCTATTTGCATACATGATACATACACACAATTGCAATCAGTTGAAGAAAAATCTAAAAAATGATATTAAAATAATATGTTAAATAATTGTTTCTTAGCATAACAAATCAAGAAAATGATACTTACAATCAGAAATTAATTACTAACCAGAAGAAAGGCACGAATTTTACTGCTAAAGATGAAAAAGCGAGCTTCCAATACCCTCCAAGACTATTGGTCCAACAACCAAGTGTTTGACAGATGTGTGATTTTTTTTGTCTAAGTCATTAAAGACATACAAAGACAAATTTATGCTTTTTGGTTAGTTTCTCCACAGAAGAGATTTAGAATCGTGTTTATAGCATTCATCATTTAATCTATTTCAATTCTAAACATAAAAAACTGCATATTCTTTTACTGCATACACTGTCCCATTTGAAACCTAGATTCTGCATACACTTATCCCGTGTCCTACGTGTCTCAACCTTAGTCATGGTTGCTTCATATGGATTCACCAAAGGTGCTACCATGAAAGCACCTATATTTTCAGTTCAAGATAATCAGATTAAAAAAAAGTATTTGATTTAAAGAATGGTGAAATACCTGCAATTCTATCAGGAATGTACTTGAGTGCAGCCCATGTATGTATGCTTCCACCTGAGTATCCAACTACCGAAAACTTACGATAAATTAAACATATACTTTGTCCAAATATTCTCCTATTTGAATGCTTCCATGAAGAAAAAAGTGAATGATAATACCAACCGCCCATTGTTGCCACTAACTCCAACTCAGATGACATAAGCCTCTTTGAACCCATTGTTGAACAATAACTCTGGCTACCTTCATGGAGTTACCATTAAAACTACCTTACAAAAAAAAAACAAAGGAATCATATACTGATCAAACTTCTCAGCTATAGAAAAGATAAAAGACTCACAGCCAACACAATCATTTTCTAGTGAAATGAAACAGTATATACAAACACTTTATAAGGAGGATCAAACTTCTTATTCTCTAGATTAATTTCAAGTTGAAATCATCAATAACAGATATGCCCTTGTAAGAGATGAAGAACCATGTCGCTATTCAACAACCCTGATGATGTTAATCCAAGAAATTAATGTCAATCCTCATCTTATTCAAACTGCAACATGAGATAAACTCATTAAAATAACCAAAAAAACTAAAGGAATTGAGATGAAACTAATTCACACCTGAATAAACACCAAAACCAAAAGATAATACAGCAAAGTCGGCATGATTTACCTGGTCGATCACTGTTGTAGGAGTATCTATGTCTTCAGTATAGAGTCCCCTAAATACGGATGAAAAAATGTCATCTCTCCCTGCCAAAAAAATCTTCCACAGTAACAAACTATTAAGGATTTTTCTGGCATTAGATGGTCAAAAACAAAATCAACAGGTACTGATTCATTTTCAGTAGGTATTGAAAAAAAAAACGGAAAAATTAACAAAAAACTGTAAATGAACCTTGTGTTTGAAGTGGGTCTTTGGAACATGTTCCTGGGATAACATCTCACACCAAGCCGATTAATTATGTCTAATTTATTATCACTGCCAACGTAATAGAAAAAGAAATCAATAGAATTAGCAGATGAAGAACGAAATTAGTAACAGAGACAGTCGCCTGTTTTTGCCCTAGAAATGGAAAGAAAGCAACAAACAACGATTTGAAATAGATACACTTCTGATGGTTCAGCTCCAAACCGGTATTTGCAACCTCAATCTCATTGGCCTTGTAGTCTTCTTGTAGAACAGATTGCATCATTGCAAAGCAGAAATTGCAGTCTACAGTCAAACATGGAATGCATCAAGCATATGTCAATGTTAAATACAATTACACAATAGTTGCAACTCAAAGAAAGTGTAGTAATTCACCTGTACAGTTTCATCATAAGTAAATTGAGGGTGTCATTTTTCCATTTCTTCTAAAGGAAATTAATAGCCTCTTGCTCTTTCAATCCAACACTTGTTGCCTACAAACAAAATTCAAAAACTACATCAGATAACAAATTTATATCTTTTTCAAAATCCATTACAAAATTCCACACACCTAATGTCCAAAGAAGTGACCTGCTGGATCACATTTGAAGAGTTTAGACCCATTCTCATCATCAATACCCAACAACATAGCCACTGAAGTTCAAACAAATCAATAAAATCATGCACATTCACAAAAATAAGCAACTAATAACAACTTCACATCTAGAAACTAACCTACTCCAAGTGGTCTCATGTAAGCATGTTGAGTATAAACTTGTGATTTGTCAGCAATCCTGCAACATATAGATTTATCAACATAAAAAATGATATGACATAATCTGATAAACGGAACTCAAAAAAATTGTAGGATTAATACCATCTTGCTAATACATAAACATCCATCTCATAGCCATATTTACAACGAAACTCAGCTGCTTCATTTCTTGCCTGTGGAACCAATGTCTTTGCATCAGCTGAAAATATGTACAAAACATTATTTATTAGTTATTATTCTTGCCTTACACAAAAATATTTTATTTGAGGCTGCAAATCATTGAGAAAATAACTTGTAGTTCCACTAGCTAACAATCCAAGGAACTTGGTGACAGGGAAAAGATTTGTAAGGTTGGTTGGATCCAAGAGCTTACAATAAAAGGGAATCAAATCTTCAAGTGGTGAAATGAAGTTTTTTGTACACAGTTCAGCATATGTTTTGCCTGGGACATACAATGAAAATAATAACTAACCTGTGCATTTTAACGAACACTTGGGGTGCAATTACAATGGTTGGTGGTTTTGTAGATGTTGAAAGTTGCTGATCTTTAACCCTCTGCATCACTCCCTAACAATCCCATCCCCATGCCTATGGTTGTTATCATCTGATAAAAAAAATTGAAAAACTTGCTTCAATCATTTTATCAAGCAATTGGTATGCATCCTAAGAGCTACAATCAAATCTCATATACTCGATTTTGTATCATTCAAAAAACTAATCAATCAAACTATAGAAAAAGAGAAAGAAAAGAAGAAGTCGAGAACGATGGTGAAAATCGAAAATCGAAACCTTACCAAATGATCGACTGCACTGTATGAACGGTTTAGATGTACAATTTCATCAGGAAGGTGGTGAACGAACGAAACATATGGAAGCAAAGAACAAACATGAAGTCGGTGGTGTGGTAGAGTGGAAACATCTGCGCTGTCGGAAGAACTCGATCGAGCAAGAGCTATGTAGAAGGGGGAGGTGAGACATCGTGAAACGAAAACAGAAAAAAGTTGAAGAAAAACGAACCTGTAACTGTAGGGTGCGAAGGTCGGTGGAAGGAAGAACCTGTAACTGTTGGGTGCGAAGGTCACCGGTCGAAGGTTTCACATGGGGGGCGACGGCACACGGTGGAGAGCGGATATCTTCATCCGAGATGCTTCAATAAAACCCCAAAATTGAACAATTTATTCATCTGTTTAACCTCAATTTGGTGGAGCACTGATTCTTGTTGGATGGCTGTGGCGATGAACATTATCCAAGAAAAGAGGAAAAAGAACGGAAGGTTTGTTATCCGAGGAAAGAGGAAAAAGAACAGATGGTTTGGATAAGGAACGGTGGTAGGAAGAAACTGGAAGAATCGATTACCTACAGCGGTATGACGCCGTCTAGGGCAGTGGATGGAACCATCCAGAAAGCAAGAGAAAGAGAAAGAAAGAGATATTATTAGAGAAGGAAGATAAGGCGGTGGAGAAAATCGAGAAACATCTGAGAATGTTGATAAGTCCATAAAATGCCCACGAACTCGAAATTGCAACCAAACACATAAACAGGGGCCATTTTTGCCAACATCTTAGGAACTTTACTGTTCCTTTTCTTCATAACTTTAATATATATATATATATATATATATATATATATATATATATATATATATATATATAATAATAATAATAATAATAATAATGACCTTAATAAAGGAAAAGTGGATTGGAAGAGACTAAATGTGCATTTTAGAAACTCGATTTAAATAGAAACTAGATTTAGGGGTTAAATATGTAAAAGGATGGAACTCGATGGGTCTTTCTTTCCAAATTCGGAAAACCAACCACATGTTGTTCCCTTCTTCCCGAAACAGGGAGAACGAGACTCCACTCCATTTTTGTTTAAACCTGCATAGGAATCTCGGACTCTCAATAAAGAAACAAACCCAAACCCTTATGTTATCGATAAAACAAAAGTTGTGTGTGCTATTGTTGTGCAACAGAGAGATATTGATACTTGATATGTAGCCTTCCTATGAACTTTTCTGATCACCAGCTCCGGTAGTTGTGTAACGCCCGCAGATTCGGGCTTGACAATTTAGAGATAATAAACGTTAAAAATGAATTTTTGATAGAAGATTATTTAGCATAAATAATCTTAACCAAAGTTATAGTATATGTCACAAGGATTCCGTACATATAAATAACGCTGAAATCCGATTTATAACGAAGAACTTATGATCCATCGAAGTTTTGCGATTAAACCGGCATGGCTCCGTGTATCGTAAAAACTAAATTTTTGACAAAATACTTTTTAGCCTTAGAAATATAAACAAAATTCATAGTATTCATTAAACCGAGAGCATGCATATAGAGAACTTCCAAATTTGACTTCATAAGAGGAAGTTATGAATTTTTCGAAGTTTCAGCGTAGCAATATACAGCTCAAAAATAGAATTCTAGATTGGTTAATTTTTAGACAAAATGATCTAGATGAGAATTGAATATCTCATTAATAGAAGTTCAACGATAAAAAGACCGTCGAAAACGGAGTCCGTATGTAGAAGTTATGAATTTTACACGGTCATTAACAGTGTAATCTTCTCAGACTATTAAATTTAAAATTGGTTGAGAATTAGCCAATGGGGTCAAAAAGAAAGTTGTAGATCTTGTCAATATCTACACATGGATATAAAGAATGTTAAAAACTGAGCTCGTATTCGAAAGTTATGAATTTTTTAAAATTGGTTGTTTTACCTGTGTCTTGTGCCGCATGTCAGCACCAGGCGAAGCCTTGGTGCCTATGCAAGCTCACGACGTGAGAGACCCCTGGATAGCCTATAAATAGAGCCTAAAATCACTCCATTCTTCACACCTTTCAACTCCATTCTCTCCCAAACCCCCCCCCCCCCCCCCAAGGTCCTAAGACCTTTGCTCTAGCACTTCCTAGGTGTTAGTAGCGAGTCCCAGAGCGCCAGAAGACCCCGAGAAGAAGAGCTTTCAGCTCAGAAGTTCTGCCCCCGCAGAGCCCGGTTCCTCGCTAAACCCCCTTGAATGTGAGTTATGCTTACCATACTTTACGTATAACTTATGTTTAAGTTCATTATCATTATTATGAACCTATAAACAAGATTTATCAGTGATTCCAATTCGTTATACTGATTGATCTACTTACGGGGATGATGTCTAGACTGTGATTTAGTAAGGTGTTTAAAGTGGGATTTCCAAACAATATACTCCGTATACCAAACGGACCCTACCTCTGATATAATCCTACCTAGTTGTTCCTTACTTAATAGATCATGAAAGTAAACTTTGAGTTCATGATGAATCTAGACTAATAATTAGTCACAATAAATATTAGACTAAGAATTAATAATAATGATACTAGGTTTCGTCAAAGGAAAAGACAATTGTTAGAAGCGAAGCGCTGCCCGAATTTTGAGTTGTCACTTTAACAAGTGAGTGCATAGTTATTTTCATCTTACACATAGATATGGAGTATTTAATGATAATACATGCTATATGTGCTTATTATCTGTGTTCCTGATAGTTATGCTAGATGAACGATTTATACATGTTTTACTTGATTTAAACTGTATATGTATTTTTATACCTATAAATATATTGGGTAAAGATGGGTAGATGAAATATGATATAGATGATGAGAGATGAAAGATGATATAGATGTTGAGAGGTGAAAGATGATGAGAAGCCTTGAATTTAACGTTGATCTGGTCATCTAGCAAAGTATAGATAATAACCACGAATGATTCGAGACAGTCCACTGGAATTCTAGCAGGCTCGCAACCTGTAGGTGTTTTTAAACTATGTGTTCACCAGATGTACTCAAAATCCTGGCAGCTGCGTCTAATGGAAAATATTGGCAACTGTGCCTAATAGATAACCTTTGAACTACGTGTTTACCAGATGTACTCTAAAAATCCTGGAAGCTACGCCTAATGGATAATATTGGCAGCTGTGCCTAATAGATAACCTTTGAACTACGTGTTCACCAGATGTACTCTAAAAATCCTGGCAGCTGCGCCTAATGGATAATATTGGCAGTTGTCCCAATAGATAACAATGGCAGTTGCGCCCGATAGATAACATTGGCAGTCGTGCCTAATAGATAACATCGGCAGCTATGGACTTAGTGCCTGTTAGATAAACCCTGGCAGCGATGGACTTCGTTCCTATTCCTTAGGACAATCCTTAGGAATAAATAAATGAAGAATAGATGATTCTTAGGGTAGAACCTTAAGGATAAAGAACATAAGGGGGATGAGAAATTGGGTTAATTGTTTGATGATTAAACATAATAATTATATTATTGTTGGTTGAAAACCCTATGTTCTCACCAGGTTTCCCAACCTGACCCACTCAGTTTATTGTATCACGGGTAGCGATATTAAAGATACATTCTGCTGAGAGATTCAAGGAGTTTTAAACCACTAGTTTAACTATTGTAAGGCTTGTGATATTTCGTTATGCTTATGTTTCTGTATTGACGATGAAATCCCAAATGTTTTAATATAATTAAAATACATTTCTTCGGAAATTCTTTAATAACATCATTATCATGTTTTCTGGTAACAAATTCCGCAATATTATTCTTCAAAAAAGATACTCTGATTTTTAAATAAGCATAAACAAATCAGTCTTTTCTGGACGTGAAAATGGGGATGTCACAGTTGGTATCAGAGCATTAGTTTAAGCGAACTAGGAGTAAAGATTTATTTCTAGACTTAAACTTAGAATGCTAAGCGATGAACGTGAGGAGTGTGTCTATTATATTTTAGGTAGTACACCTGAATTGACACAAGCACTATCTTACTTTAGGATTAGATGCCTAAATTGTTTTTATGTGCTAAATGATTTATGTTATAGCCTTATATGCTTTATCATGCTATTATTTGATCAGATTCATGGTCTATTGCCGACCGGATCTTAAAATTTTATGTGTTCAGATTTCTGAACGTTTAATTACAATATTAGAACTGGCATGTAACTTTTTGGAGTAATAAGGAGGATTACACGTATAAACCTTCTCTATCTATATTCTCGTCCCGATACACTGAACGCATGCTTTCGTGAACATAACGTCATGGTGAAGACTCATAGCGAACTGAGTAAATGAGAAGGCTTACGATAGTGAATGACACGTATAAGAAGATATCGTAAGAGTGGTATCTTGCCTTTGAATGCATCCGATAAAATAACAGTACGTCTAGAGGAGTACGGTACATCCAAATATACACATTTGATTGGCGGGATGATAGAACGATTGGTGTAATTCCTGAAGTTGTCGTATCATTTGGTATTTCCACCACCAACCGAGTTGAATCATAATTGTTGTTGAAGATACACATGGAAGAAGTCCTAGTAGAGTCTAGGGAAAATTTTAGGATTATTTGGACACATTCGTATGTGTTAAATCGTTTTGTGATTTAGGAAATAAGAACTTGGGTACTGCGAGGAAATTCTTGGGACGAGTATGAGTAGGTGTGAAAGGTAGTAGAGGCCTATACTACCGGTAGCACAAGACTCGCACTTGGATTAGGGAAAGTCACAAGGTTACCAAGGCAGTAGTAATTGATTCCGCTTTGTTCATGTATGTTGTGACATCCCCAATTTCACGGCCAGAAAAGACCGATTTTTTTATGATTTATTTGAAAATCAGAGTAACTTTTTAAAGAAAGTGTTGCGGAATTTGTTCCCAAAAATATGATAAAGATTTTATCAAAGCATTTCCAAAGAAATGTATTTCATTATATTAAAACCTCAGGATGTCATTGTCAATACAGATCAAAAGCATAAACCGAAACAACATAGGCCTTACAACATTTATTTATATCTACTGGCCTATAATCCATAAACTCTCATCCGATCATCAGATCTATGCTCTTGTGCCACTACCTGTAATACAAGAAACTAAGTGGGTCAGGCTTGGGAGCCTGTTGAGCACATAGGGTTTTCAACCCACAATAATTAAGTTTATTAGTTTCATCACATTAATCAACCCGATTACCCATTCCCGTTATCCTTACTTTCTGTCCTGAAAGCATCTAATTCAAGGGACCTAGCTTAAGGATTTTCATCGGGATGGACACTACTGCTAAGGGGATTCCTCAGCGATATATGTCTGTAAGGCAACCGTGAGGGGGGATGGAGTACACCGGTGAACACATCGTTCAGAAACACATACAGGTTGCGAGCCTGCTAGCGTTCCACTAGACTGTCTAGAATAGTCCGTGGTCGTCATCTATACTTCGCTAGATAACTGGATCATCGTAGAAAACTAGGCCTCTCATCATTTTATTTCAACACACATCAACTATTTCATCTACCCATGTTCTACCCAACATATTCGTAGATATAAAATACATATACATTTTAAATCATTTAAAACATGTATAAATCGTT